GAGAGAGAGAGAGAGAGAGAGAGAGAGAGACAGGTACAACTATATATTAATAATAATAATAATATGAGATATTACATCAACATACTAATGCAAATATGTATACACAGGTGTATATGGCTGACGTAATAGGTTCTGGTTTAGTGATATACAATAAATACTCAGGCTTCTGCAGAATTGAATCTGATTTCATGAAATCAACTCATCCCAATTTTACCATAGAAAACGAGAGTTTTTATTTGGAAGATGGTATTCTTGGTTTAACAATAATTCGTGAAAGCAAGTACTCAAATTTTTAAAACAAATTATTTTCTTTTTAAAGTTTATTATTTAAATTTATTACATCACATGAGTAAATGTTATGGAACTTAAGTCCAGTTTTGACAGTATTTACATCAAAATACTTACAATTACTTATTTTTTAATGTTAATAATTATGCATATTCACGCCTTATATCGAACAAAAATGTAAAGATAGAAAGCTTTTCTGTAAATAATCGATAGCATTTGCTAATCTTTGTCATTATTAATATGTCCGTTGTAAATGTTTCAGATTTGTTTTATGCTCCTTTAGCGGGGAATAGGATATTCAAGATGAATAAGCATACTCTAAGAAAATGTCCAAAACGAAGCGAGGCTAATAGGTTAACTCAAGTGGCGGGTACATTATCTGGTCAAACAGGACCGATAGCATCCCAGAATAACGTAATATTTTTTAGCAATATCCCGAAAACGGCCATTCTTTGTGCGGATACTACTAAAAAATTCGATCCTTCCAACAGTGTAAGAGCTATTTAAATATAATTATTTTTTGTATATTACTTCGTAATAAATTATTGTAAATACTGTACTCGTATACTATTAACATGATTACGTCTAATGATAACAACTATATTGATACAATTTTAATTATTATAAAATGAAATTTTTTAGGTGATTATTGCACAAAATTCCAAAAAATTGCAATTTCCGGGTGGACTAAAAGTTATAAGAGATAAAGAAAAAAAAGTTAGAAAGTATAAGGAAGGAAAAGTACTAATTGCAACAAATAGGCTTCAACGTATCTTTAATAACAATTTAAACCTGAACGAGACAAACTTCCGCATTCTCGAGTTCGATATCATGAAAATAAAAGAGACAAAATGTTTTGATTCCAATTAACACGGCCATAAACCTGGACGTAATATCTTGTTCTCTTAGAATTTGTGTATATGACATCATATTTTCACTGAAAAAAATAAAATGATCTCAAAAGAACTTTTATTTAAAACGTATACATGTAAAATATATAAAAAAAAAGAATAATATATAATTAGTTATGCACACTATCAAAATTAATACATTGTTAATAATGGAATAATTGCATAAAGCAATATCTTTATTCAAATAAGCTACTGTCCTCTTATTTAACAATTATAAAACAAAAAGAAAGAAAAGTATTAATTGTATAAGAAATAGGGTATTTTTCATTCTTGAAGTTCCATTGATAAAATAACATCCTACTCATTATGCATCTATAACATTGAAAGAAATGATCAATCGTAAGAAAATGACTAATTCTAGTCAAGTATTCTCCCTATATTTGACTGTGCTTGGTCCAATTAAGACTCCACGATCATCTACAAATTCTATGTAAACGATCTAAAGTCTATCCAAAAGATAGGTTAGATTCTATATAGTTTGTTTCTGTTACTAATAGTTGGTTGGTATAGCAGACTAGCAGCAATCACAACAACATAATTTGTTGTCGCATATTTACCGATCACCGGTTAAAGGTACTGGCTTGCTAAATTAACAAAATCCTTTCTCTCAGTAAAAAAAGTAAAATATAATAATATAATTGAATTAAATGTAATACGAAATACGTTTGAATTTTCTGAATAATTGAGATAAGACATATTTAGATAGAATTAACAAAATCGCAATTTGCATTAATTTTTTACATAAATAATAAAAAATAATAAAAAATAAACAAATATTGAACAGTTTAATGGTACTACCTTTACCTGACAATAATTTACGTTCACTATGTATTTCTTATATAACAAACATGATATCCTCCAAGGACTCATTGATAAGATAATATATTGTGCATTAGATATACAGTGAATGCAAAAAGTATCCGTACAAAGATATTTTTTATAAAAAAAAAACTTATTTGTAGAAAATTAACATTAATTAGCATTAGCAATTTTATACAATAAATACATTCTGTTGTAACACAAACGAACGAGCTCCGCGTGTATTCCTGATTTTTTAGAAGCTAAATTTCTCGATTATACGAATACTTTTTGACCGTCCAAACAATACAATTTTTTATTTTTGTTTATTTTTCAGATGATATATTTCTAATAATAAATGCACATTTTCTTGGTACATATAACTTTGAGAAACATACTGTTTTATTCTTTATGAATAAATTGTTAATTATCTAGCAAGAAATAATCGTCAACTTGTCGTCAAATTGATATCGAAATCATCATATCAATTCGACATCAGTTTGATGAATCATTTCTAGCTGGATAATACTGTTTTAAAATAAGATTTTTTTAAATATTTTCTCTGTACAAATACTTTTTACACTTACTGTACATACAATTATTGTTATCAATAATGCTAGCTCACATGACTTTGAACATTGCAATTTTTAACTATCAATTAACGTATTGTATAACAGGGTTGCCACAAATTTTTCATCCCAAAATTGCCTGAAATTTCCCTGATTTCCAGACAAATTTTTCTGATTTTGCCTGACTTTCAATAATACATATATTGAAATTTTTTTTGAATTTTCATCCTGATTTGAAAATCGTTAAATATTTTGTTGATAGAGCAATTTAACATAATAGTGTAAATTACTATTAATGTTGCTGATAATGCATTTAATTGTTAAGTTAGTAGTACTTTTTGTCTTTACCTTTTATATATGAATGCAATACTTTTTATCTTCCTCTCTTTCCCTTTGCTGATGTACTTCTTTTTTATCGAAACTAAATCCTGTTTATTAAAACTTCAATCTGTTACTAAAGGTTAGTTGAAAGAAAAATCACAATAATATGAAATTAACATTTATTTTATTCACTTGTTCATAAGTAACGTAGAGAACTTTTTTAGATATAAACAAAAGAACAGCAACTTAAAAATTTCGAAGTTCTTAGGCTATGTGTTCCGATATACACTGCCAGTACTGAAAATCTATAGTGTACGTAACGTGCACTATAGAATTTTAGTACTTGCAGTGCATAACGGAACACACACACAGCCTCAATAAAAACATTTTAAATCTCTACTAAGTTTACGTTACCTTTTTACATAAAAACTAAAATTTCAAATTCTTAAAGAAAACTTGAACTCTGCAAATTAACATAAAAAATTGCACAAGGCATTTAATGGAATATTAATGATGTCAATGATGTTATTTCTTCATGAAGAACGCTTAGTTCATTAGTTTTCTCTGTCAACAGTTTTGCCTTCTTAGTCTTCAATTCTGAAATTTTTTAAAACAAGGACCTTTTTTGAGCAAATTTTGCATTTTCTTGTTCTTTCTCAGAGCGCTGCTTTTCCAATGCTTTACCATACATATCCTTCGCATTTCGGTAAGATAAAATCATCTTTTTATCTATTATAAGTTTAGTAAGACCACCAGCAGCCTTAAGGCTATCATAAACTTGTCTTTGAGATATTAGAGAGACCTAGGTAGTTGATTTTCAACAATTCCTTGTTTATTGAAAATTCTCTTTCCACAAATGCTTGACGATAACTCAAAATAAGGATCTTTTTCACAAAGACATAAAAATTCTGAAAATTATTTTGCCCTTCAAGCAAGTTTCTTCAGAAATGATCAATTCTTTGATTTTCCTTAACGAACTGCTTGCATAAATCAATTACTTCTTTCTTATAGCAAAGAACTTTAAATTCTTTCTCAATTTTATCATAGGTCTGACTAGTAAACCAATTTCTTGCGGAAAACAATTGTAGAGGTTTAGAAAGCCTATCAAGTCAGTAGTAGCGCAAACCGTGAGAGCACATGAGGACGCGTAACTAAAATTCTATGGCTGTGATGTACACATATTTTAAACTTACAGCCATTTCATTTTACCAGAAAATTTTGCTAAATTCCTGACTTTTTCCTGACTTCCCTGACTTGTGATAATCTGTGTATACAGAACTACTAAAAATATTATAAATTCTACTAAAAATATTATAAATAAGTACTGCTAACTAGTAGATGTAGGGGAGCTCACCAACACTGGATAACTTTTAGTTTATATATGTTAGTTTGTGTTTGCTCTGAGAGGAAGGCTCAAAAGTGAGCCGAACCATGTAGGCGCGTTTAGCGAATAAAGAAGTTTCACGCTCCATAGGTGTATTATTTGCGCAACGACTTCTGCGCCTGACTCTTAGTTCCCTTATTCTTTCCAATTCTTTGATAATAAATTGATATACAAATAAGTGAAAAAATTACAGTTTTAATTTAATTACTTAAATTATATTATTTTTATTTACTTATTTTTCAACATTATTAGTTATGCATATTTATACTCTATAACTTACAAAAATGTAAAAAGCATGGAAAGCTTTTCTATAAATAATGATGGCATTCACTGATCTCTAATGATTGTTAATATCTTTGTTGCAAATGTTATATAAAGTTATTCTACGCTTCATGCCCCTCCTTTTGCGGAGTGCAAGATATTTAAGATATATACATAATATACGAGAATATCAAAACTAAATAATAGCAAGGCTAACAGATTAACTGCAGGTAGATATATTATCTAGCAAAAGGGATCCGACAGCATTTAAAGATAATGTGATATTTTTTAGCAACGTCCCAGAAACATTCATTCTGCTACAGAAAGATAAATAGTTCAATGATACTATCTTTATGTCACAATATATTTTTATATTCACTGTATTTCTTATATAACAAATTATCTTCCGTTACTCAAAAATTCATTGATAGGTAACAATATAAATTGTATTTCTGCGTATTTCTGTGTAACAAATACGTTAGTCTCTATTCCTCACGGACTTATTAACAGATAATGTATTGCGTATTATATACATTTAAAACCATTATTATTATCGGTAAGGCTCACATAAATTTAAACATTATCATTTTTTACACTATCGATTGTTATATTATATATAATGAAAGTTCTTGGAAAAATATCTTTTATAAACATCTATGTATACGAATTCACAGTAGTTTCTATATAACCCTGCAGTGAATATTGTCGAACGTTGCACAAACTTATTATTGCCGCATTCAATTTTGTGATATATATCTATATTGCTGACATTCAATCATTTTATTACATATATTAGTGACTGACGTATAGAGTGAAAATGACGCATCCATTACTAATTGTATTACTTGTAACGATCGCAAATAAAAGCTTCGGTGCTGAACTGAAAGATCGATATGAATGGAAATATATTGATTATGTGTGGAATAATTTGCAAAAGCAGGAAGTGATAAAATCTGACAATTATGACCCTATTAAGAATATTTTATTTGACGTAGACGAAGCACCAGGTAGACTTATCAAAGAAATAATAATTTTAATAAAAAAGATAACGGTAACGAAAAATAAACAACTTCATATATGAAAGCTTAATTAATATAATATTTCATGTTGTCGATGCCAAAGACATAGAGAATGGACTGCGCGATCCGTATCTAAGTAGTGTATCAAATGTAGTCGATAATAATGAGAGAGAGGGACCGTGGGAGACGGCCAATCTCCGTCTCATTCTTTCTCCCATTATACCATTGAATGGAAAGAGATAGAAATGGCCGTCTGCCACGGTCCCTCTCTCTCATCCCTATCGACCATTTTGACACATGGTCGCGCAGTCCATTCTCTATGGCTTTGGTCGATGCAATATAAATTGTTTCTACAATACAATTATGATATCTTTGCAATAAAAACATATTTTGAATGTACAAGATCTTTGCAATTAATTTCTTGTAGATGGTAGAGTATTCGGTACTATACTAAGTTACTATACAAGAGTACCAGCTAGTGTAGCAACAGTAAGTAATGAAAGAGGACCGGGAGGTCCACTTTTGTCTCCGTATCCAAATTGGTCATGGTATAATGACACTATTGATTGCAATAACAATATTATAAATGTATTACAAATATATGTAAGTATTATACATATAATTATAGTAAAAAATAATTTATATTATTATGCATTGTGCATATCTACATATTTTCGCGTTAGATCAAATGTAATCATCTTTTCGTTGTGGACTTTGGAAGAAAGGATGGACTTGAAGGAGATAGAGTTTGTCCTTCGAAACTATTAATCTTTAATTTAGAAAATGATATGCTCGTTGATCGTGTTACCATTCCATCTAACATTGCTGATAATAAAAATGGTAAAGGAATGCTTGCGAAACCACTTGCTTATGTTCGAGATTGCAGACGCATAGATAATGCAATCGTTAGTATTTTTTCAGATTTTATGCGTTTATAACAGTACATGTTCTGTAATAGTGCAAATACAGGGTGTCCCATTTTAATTTATCCAAGCAAATATCTCAAAAATATCTTGAAATATGAAAGATACGGAAAAATACTTCAGATAAGAGTATAATAAAGTAGGATTTTAAGGAAGACGTATTTTGATCACGTTGTTTCATTTCTTTTTTAGATGGAGGCGCCGAAAAGATACGAATGTGTCTTCATTTTTTTAAATAGATTTATATGATTTTTTTTAACATAATATGATTCTCCAAATTATTTTATATTTAAAAAATTATTTTGCCTGTACATTTTTTTAAAAACAACTATATATCTTTTTTACCCAACTGATTCTAAGTCATTACTTTATTCATAAAAATGCTAAAGTACAATTATCGAAAAATTAATAGTTTACTTGATATCTCATGACAATATGTGCCAGCATGTAGTACGAAATATTTCATAATCTATTGGTTTTTTGTCTAATACTTTTATACATAATAATTCAAAGTCATTATGCAAAAAATCATGTAATTTTATTAAATAAATTTATTAAATTATTTATTAAATAAAGGGAGGTGCCCTTTATATGTCTTGGCAACCCCACTTAAAAAAGATCCGAACAAAATACGTCCTCTAAAAACAATTCCACTTTTATTTGAAAAATTTTTCCGTGTCACCCATTTTTAGAGGTAGTTATCTAAATAAATTACAATAGATCACCCTGTATATATTGTTTAATTAATACATAATATCTTGCGATGAAGAGAGAGAGAGAGAGAGAGAGAGAGAGAGAGAGACAACTATATATTATTAATAATAATAATAATATAAGATATTACATCAACATACTAATACAAATATGTATACACAGGTGTATATCTCTGACATACAAGGTTTTGGTTTAGTCATATATAATAAGTACGCAGGCTTCTGCAGAATTGAATCTGATTTCATGAAACCAACTCATCCCAATTTTACAATAGAAAACGAGAGTTTTTATAGGGAAGATGGTATTGCTGGTTTAACAATCATTCGTGAAAGCAAGTACTCAAGTTTATAAAACAAATTATTTTCTTTATTATTTAAGTTTATTACATTACATGAGTAAATGTTACGGAACTTAAGTCCAGTTTTGACAATATTCACATCAAAATACTTCCATTTAATTATTTTTCAATATTAATAATTATCCATAATCACGCCTTATAACGAACAAAAATGTAAGGATAGAAAGCTTTTCTGTAAATAATCGAAAGCATTCGCTAACCTTTTTAATTATTAATGTGTTTGTTGTAAATATTTCAGATTTGTTTTATGCTCCTTTAGCGGGGGATAGGATATTCAAGATGAATATGCATTCTCTAAAAAAATGTCCAAAACGAAGCGAGGCTAATAGGTTAACTCAAGTGGCGGGTACATTATCTGGTCAACCAGGACTGATAGCATCCAAGGATAATGTAATATTTTTTAGCAACATCCCGAAAACGGCCATTCTTTGTGCGGACACTACTAAGAAATTCGATCCTTCCAACAGTGTAAGAGCTATTTAAATATAATTATTTTCTGTATATTACTTCGTAATAAATTATTGTAAATACTGTACTCGTATACTATTAACATGATTACGTCTAATGATAACAACTATATTGATACAATTTTAATTATTATAAAATGAAATTTTTTAGGTGATTATTGCACAAAATTCCAAAAAATTGCAATTTCCGGGTGGACTAAAAGTTATAAGAGATAAAGAAAGGAAAGATAGAAAATATAAGGAAGGAAAATTACTAATCGCAACAAACAGGCTTCAGCGTATCTTTAATAACAATTCAAACCCGAACGAGGTAAACTTCCGCATTCTCGAGTTGGATATCATGAAAATAAAAGAGACAAAATGTTTTGATTCCAATTACCACGACCATAAAACTGAACATAATACCTTGTTCTCTTAGAATTTGTGTATGACATATTTTCACTAGAAAAAATAAAATGATGTCAAAAGAACTTTTATTTAAAATGCGTACAAGTAAAATATTTAAAAAAATGAGTAATATACAATTAGTTATGCATACTATCAAAATTAATAGATTGTTCATAATCAAATAATTGTATAAAGCAATATTTTTATTCAAACAAGCTACTGTCCTCTTATATAACAATTATAAAACAAAAAGAAAAAAATATTAATTGTATAAGAAATATGGTATTCTTCATTCTTAAAATTCCATTGATAAAATAACATCCTACTCATTATGCATCTATAACAAAGTAAAATATAATAATATAACTGAATTAAATGTTACGAAATACATTTGAATTTTCTAAATAATTGTGATAAGACATAATGTATAGATAGAATTAAAATTTAAATAGAATTTAAAATTTAGATAGAATTAACAAAATCGCAACTTGCACTTATTTTTAACATAAATAATAAAAAATTATAAACAAAAATTGAACAGTTTAATAGTACTACATTTACCTGACAATATTTTACGTTCACTATGTATTTCTTATATAACAAACATGACATCCTCCATACTCCAAGGACTCATTGATAAGATAACATATTGTGCATTAGATATACAGTGAATGCAAAAAGTATTCGTACAAAGACATTTTTTATAAAAAAAAACTTATTTGTAGAAAATTAATATTAATTAGCATTAGCAATTTTATACAATAAATACATTCTGTTGTAACACAAACGAACGAGCTCCGCGTGTATTCCTGATTTTTTAGAAGCTAAATTTCTCGATTATACGAATACTTTTTGACCGTCCAAACAATACAATTTTTTATTTTCGCTTATTTTTAAGATGATATATTTCTAATAATGAATGCACATTTTCTTGGTACATATAACTTTGAGAAACATATTATTTTATTCTTTATGAATAAATTATTAATTATCCAGCAAGAAATAACCGTCAATTAAACGTCAACTTGGCGTCAAATTGATGTCGAAATCATCATATCGATTCGACATCAATTTGATGAATCATTTCTCGCTGGATAATACTTTTTTAAAATATTATTTTTTTAAATATTTTCTCTGTACAAATACTTTTTGCACTCACTATACATACAATTATTATTATCAATAATGCTAGCTCACATGACTTTAAACATTGCAATTTTTAACTATCAATTAACGTATTGTATAAAGAACTACTAAAAATTTTATAAATAAGTACTGCTATATTCTATATTATAAACTTACAGCTTTTATATAAATCCGCCATGAATATTATCTAACGTTGCACAAACTGTTATTACTACATTCCCTCTTGCAATATACTCTTGTGATAAAATCTATCGCTGAAACTCAGTCATATTATTACAAATACCTGTGACCATCATAGTAATGAATGCTATACCATGTTTTACTGAAAATAACGTATCTATTACTTATTGTATTAATTCTAACAATCATAAATATAAGTTTTGGTGTTGAACTGGAAGATCTGTAAACGAATGGAAGTATCTATCTTCATTATGTGGAAAAATTCGACGCAAGAGCTGAAAACGCAATAGAATCTGACAATTATAATATAACACGCTAGCACGTACATTTCATACAACGTAGACAGGACGCCAAGTAGGCTGATGCTAATCAAAGAAATAATTTTATATATGAAGATGTTTTTATTTCATAAAAATACGCACATAACATTTTACCACTTACAATACTTAATTCGGAATGCAATTATTGTATTAATTACATAATAATTTAATATACAAATAAGTAAAAGAATTTCGGTACAGCTTTTATTTAATTACTTGAATTATATTACTTTTATTTACTTATTTTTCAATATTATTAGTTATGCATATTTATACTCTATAACTTACAAAAATGTATAAAGCATGGAAAGCTTTTCTATAAATAATGATGATATTCGCTGATTTCTAATGATTGTTAATATCTTTGTTGCAAATGTTTTTTAAAGTTATTCTATGCTCCACCCCCTCCTTTTGCGGGGTGCGAGATATTTAAGATATATACATAATATACGAGAATATCAAAACTAAATAATAGCAAGGCTAATAGATTAACTGCAGGTAAATATATTATCTAAAGGGGTCCGACAGCATTTAAAGATATAGGTATAATGTGTGATACTTTTTTAGCAACGTCCCAGAAACATTCATTCTGCTACAGAAAGATAAATAGTTTAATGATGCCGTCTTTATGTCACAATATATTTTGATATTCAATGTATTTCTTGTATAACAAATTATCCTCCGTTACTCAAAAATTCATTGATATAGGTAACGATAAAAATTGCAATATGTGACTGGATTGAAAGTTGGAAATACTTCGGGAAATCTACTAATCGCATCAAACAGACTTCAGGTTGTGCTTAACGATACATTAGATCCAAACGAGATAAATTTCTGCTTTCTCCGATTGAATAGGAATCGAATACGAAACGAGACAAATTGTTTGCTTCAGCTATATATAATGACCACGGTCGTAAACCCGCTCACCATTAACTTTGGCATATATATAAAAAATAAAAAATATAACTAGTGTGCACAATTTCAGAATTAATATTATATATATTATACGGTTATAAAACAAAAAACAAAGAAAATAAAATATAATTATATAAAAAATAGTTTTTATTTCTGAAAATCCCATTGATAAAAAACATTTTGCATATATGCACCTGTACAAAGTGTCATGAATAACATGAATGAAACGACTTTAAGCGAGGTCGCATTGTTTACTGCTTGTGATAGTGAGAATTTCCTGTAAAGTATTTTCATATGTATTAAGTTGTAAACTTTCCGTAAATATCAACTAACATCGTGCGACCTACCATTAATAGATTTGTATTTGCGAAATACGTATCTATTGATAGAGCTTAGTTATGCTATTTTTATTCTGTTTATAATAGCCATATGTTTATAGTAGCTATAATAATTATTCGCTAAAAATGAAGCAACCTTTATTTGTCATATCAATTCTGACAACCGTAATTGTAAGCTTTGGTGTTAATCTAAAAGGTGTGTACGATTGGAAATACGTTGATTTTCTTTGGGAAAGTGGAAAAGAAAGGGAGGATGCGATAAATTCTGGCAACTATAATCCTAATTCATGCGTTTTATACGACGTAGACAAGGCTCAAGGTAGGCTAATACTATTCAAAGTAAGCTAACTAAATTTGATGTAATTTTACATCAAATATAATTATATTTCTTTTTTATAGAAACATAAATACCTTTTCTAGTAAACGTAATTTATAAACATAGTATTTAATATAAACGTCATGATCAACGTTATATTCAACATATTGATAAAAAAATTAATGAAATAATAAGAATAGTACCGTTGTAATATAAAAGTATAAGTTTTATTACAAGAAAGAAGGACTCTTAATTTGAAAACAATAACGAGAAAATAAAGGATACATAAGAGTCAAATATAATAAAGTATATTAAAACATGAAAATCCAGCCGTTTGTGAGTGATTTCCGTTTCTCAGCAAAGCATCTCACATGGCCATCATTACTTTATGTATAATTTTTTTCTATCTTTTCGACTGCTTTCATCTAATGTAATATCTCTTGTATGTATATCTGAAGAAGGTTCAATCGTGAGACCGAAACATGTCATATTTTAATCAACTATATAATATTATATTATTCACATTTTCTTTTGATTTTTCATGTTTTAATATACTTTATTATATTTGACTCTATGTGCCCTTTATTCTCTCGTTATTGTTTATAAAAATATGATATATTTACAATAAAACATACTGAATAGCATGCAATTTTTGTAGATGGTAGAATATTCGTTACTTCGGTAAGACAACAGGGAGTACCAGCTAGTCTGATGACCGTATCTGACGAAACAGGACCGGGAGGTCCACTTTTGAATCCATATCCAAGTTGGTCATGGTACAATGAGAATGATTGCAATGGCATTATAAGTGTATATCGAGTGTCTGTGAGCATTAATATTTTTTAAAGCGGCATATAACTATTATAAATATAATTAATATTATTATATATTATGCATCTACATTTTGCATTAGATCAAATGCAATCGCATCTTCGTTCTGGATTGTGGTAAAGTCGGAGAAGACGCTGTTTGTCCTCCGCAACTATTGATCTTTGATTTAAAAAATAATATGCTCGTTAAACGTATTCGCATTCCACCTCACATTGCTAACAACAAAAATGGCACTGGATTACTCGTAACACCACTTGCTTATGTTCGAGATTGCAAATATATAAATGATGCGACCGTTAGTACAATGTGACTTAATTCGAAATGCAATTATTATATTAATTATATAATAGATTAATATAGAAATACGTTCACAGGTATTTATGGCTGATGTAGAAGGTTACGGTTTGGCTATTTACAACGAAAATTTTGGCTTCTGCAGAATCGAATCTAATTACATGAAACCGACTGATGCCAATTTTACGATAGAAAATCAAAGTTTTTATTTGGAAGACGGTATTCTCGGCTTAACAATCATTTATAAACGTAAGTACTTATTTTTGACACAAAAAAAATTATTTCGATTGTTATATAAAATCATTACGCCCGTATATGACATCTAAAAAATTTAAATCCATCTTTAAGTTGATATTTGAGTCGTATCATTTCCATTTGTTTTTACTTTCTTATCTATACTTATACATATTTACGCTTAACTAAAGTAAGAAAATAAAAACTTTGCCAGTAAATAATTTCATACTGTTAAGCCTTTGCGATTATTAATATTTCCATTGCAAATGTTTTAGAGTTGTACTATGCTCCCTTAGCGGGAAAGGAAATATATAAAATGGATCTGTGTAATTTTCATCAAGAATGTTTAGATCTAAGCCAAAGTGAAATTGATAAACTAACTCAACTAGCGGGTACGTTATCTGGCCAAACAGGACCGATAGCATCCGAGCAATGCGCAATATTTTTTAGCAATATT